GACATGGGTGGAAAGCGACTGACACGAGCGATATGATAGTCTTTTCGTTTACTCGCTTCGATAACTGGTAGAAAAACGGGTTGAGCAAGCCCGTCCCGCCTGACATGCCCCATCATGCGCCGAGAACGAAACTGTACCTAACGACTTGGAGATGTCGCAGTAACGGTCGCAATAAATCGCGAAAACGAGCACGTATTGAGCTCGTCAACCCTGCACTAACTGAGAACTGGCGAAATCGATTCTTATCTACACTTTCGAGGATTCTCTCAATTCCGCAATCTTCCAGCTCAGCCAGTAAGATTCAATACTGACGTAGAGTGGATGGAAGATGGCAAAACTGGTCAAAAGCAACGGAAAACGCTAAGAAAGCGAAGGCGCCCAAAAGAGATGAAAGAAGAGTAAGGTAAGGTACCATAGTACCAGTGTTAAAAGAAAGAACTCGTCCGGATACATCAATCCAACGGCAGATCTGATTTGACGCTCTTTTATTCAGAGTTCAGAAGTGATGACCTCGACAGCTCTAGTGTTTCCCAGCTGAAAATGAAAGAGAAGACGAAGCGCTAGTAACCCTAAGGGGGAGAGGGGGGGGGGTCATTCAAAGGACTCTTCGCGTAAAACTGGTATTACGACCATACGAATAGAATTACTGTACTCTGAACTTACTCATCCACCCTTTAGCGCCTCTTCCGCAGGTCTAGACGATTTTCATTCCTCCATAGCCTGCCTGCGATAACCCAGTTTCGTACCAGGAATCCTTTAAATGTCCATATCATGCCTGCTCTCGCCCCCCCCCCCTCCCCTCCCGAAATTATAGGCCCGAACACGAACTAGAACAGAACCGCAAGGTAGCAAGACAAAACTGATAAACCCGATTTCGAATTCAGTAGCTTCAGCAAGGAAGATACGAAAAGAATGAAAGAGACGATCTCTGAATACCTCATTAACTTCCAGCACGCCTTTGTCACTACTCTGACCACCTTCTTCAGCATAAAACTGGCAATTTTCCAATACAATCGATCCTGACGATGAGATTGAAGGCACTCGTTTACCGTTGCTAAAGGCGGCCACTACCTTAGTGGTGATTTGAGGAAACGCTGGAAACCTTAACCGTTTCGCAGAAATTATCGATTGATAGCGATATTCATTTAAGACGTACAATACGATCCATCTGCCTCAAGACAGTACTCATATTTCGCATTATCTGAGCATTTCTCCAACCCTGACATATCCATAGAATAACCAGCAGAAAATTTACTTTGACTTTTGGAAAGCACCTGAAGATCTCGTACATTAATAATAATCAGTAATACTCAATGTTCCCTGTGAAACAACCTTCGCCTCTTCCTTGAGCTCGTAAAATCTTTTATGATCAACGGTGAGACCGTGTCTTTCACTGAGATCTTCGGTGATTTCTATTGGAATGCCATGAGTATCATGTAGCATCCAAGCGTTTTCTCCTGATAAAAAAATAATGGTACAGTGATCAAATAAACGGGTGTCGGTGAGGAGGCCTTGTCGCGGCGTTGAAATGGTGTTGCATTTGCACCAGGACCTAACTGGTTTCAAAAAGGCGCTCGTGACTTCCGTTAAGGCGGAGCCGAGGAATGACGTTATCATCGTGCCTTCTACGGCGGTCACGAATGAATCGCAGTTCGGCGACGGGGGGGGGGGCATTTTGCACTTTTCTTGCTTCACTATTTCCGGTCTCACTCTGGTGAAACCTGTGAACTCTTGTGAAGCTGGAGCAAGCTCGTCAAGCCATCATGGTAAAACCTGTCAACTCGAGAAGAGGCTGTCTAGATGGGTCGACACGTTGATGGGAAGTATCAAAAGTGCAAAATGCCCCCACGTCGCCGAACTGCGCCGCAGGAAAGTAAGGGGTAAGGGTACGCTCATGACGTCATTCCCTGGTTCTGGTCACCCAGCATTTCATGGGTATCGCTGCTACAGTATGCCAAATCATTCGGCTAGGAAACGCCGCAGTATAGCTCAACACATCCATGTTGCAGTGCGTGTGCGAGGCGACAAAGCGTTGCTAATAGCATCACGTGCACGGCATTCGCACCAAAACCCAACTCATGTTAGCGAGGCCTCAATGCGTCAAATCAAGTGGTTAGGAAAGTACTAATTTGTGCGCGACGTCGCGACTCCGATCCAATGAACTACACCCCAGAATCTTAATTAGTTGGTGCGCGTCGCACGTGGAACTCTCGACCGACATCCTCACGACAAGAATTCATTACTGAACCTCGTACCTGAAAAAATTCTTTCATTCGCAGGCATGTTCAGACGCATCTGTTCAAAAATAGTGCTTCCTTTGTCTACAATCTCCCAATAATGTTCTTCCTCCTCCATCACACTTTTCGCTATATTCTCTCCACAGTGAGACAATTCTGGATAAGCTGGCTTCTGAACAGGAGTAACAAATGTTACAAGCATGACTCAGCTCACAAAAATGGACGTAATTCGGCTTAGTGGGGGCAGCAAACGGTACTGTGCGATGCTAATTCAGGCCACCTCGTGAAGACATGTGAATTCATGTAACCATGGTAGCCTAGTTGTGCTGTTTCACAACTTCACATGAGTTTGCA